CCCCCCATTTGGCGATTCCGGTTCATTATATATCCTAAACACGCCCACTCGCATGGCGATTCCGGTACCATCTATCTTGAACAAGCCCCCGATTTGGCGATTCCGGTTCATCCTACATCTTAAACACGCCCCCTCATTCGGCGATATCGGTTCATCGTATATCTTAAACACGCCCCCTCACTTGGCGATTCCGGCAGCATCTATCTTAAGCACGCCCCCCCCCCCAATTTTGCGATTCCGATGCATCGTTTTTCTTAAGCACGCCCCCTCACTTGGCGATTCCGGTACCATCTAGGCCGTGGGGAAATCCGGAAGTTCTCTGAGGAAGTGTCCGGATTTCAGGTAGTGCACCAGCCGGCCCGCCACGTTGCAGCAAGACAGTGGCGGTGCGTGCATGCGTACTACTCAGCGTTGTCTTTGGTTTGTAAGCATTACATGTAACCTTTGGTGTGTAAGCATTACATTTAATCTTCTCTGTTCCGGAATCAGTCCCTGCTTTGTTCCTGACTGTCCCGCCGACGCTCCTGACTCTGCCTCCGGCTATTCCTGACTCCTCCCCTCTCTGTTCCCGACTCTTGCGGCCGGCTCGCCTCTCATACATGCTAGTAGCTTGGTCAAGCATGTGCATGCTGTACCTTTCGGCTTCCAACGAGACTGGTCAGTTCAATGGAGTCAAGAATTACCATCAATTTGAGCTGAGGACAAAAGTCGTGTCTTGGACGACTCGGAGATTGATGCCACTTGTTTCGGGAAGAGTATGGAGCATAAGGGAGTCAGGAGGTAATAGTTACAGAGGAGTTTGAGGACTGTCATCGTAGGTAGTCTTTGGTGTTCCCGTCATGCAAGAGCAACCAGGACCGGAGCCCGAAGCTCGATCTCCAAGGATACAGAGCATGCTCAGAGTGCCCGTCAGGTTGAGCGTGTTCTGTGTCCACGTGGGAGTTTCCGAAAATTCAGGTACCGTATTTTGGGGCCCTTATAGTAAGGATCCTATGATTCGACGCAATCCTGGTGATCGGTTCTGAGGTGAGGCAAGGTGATGCTTCGAGAAGCTTTGCTTGGGTGGACGAAAACCGCCAGGCGCAGCCAGCTCTGTGCGCAGTTCATGCAGCATCGTGCCAGCATCGACCTCGACTCCCAAGCATGCACCCAAAATCTTGCGGCTGGAGACTGGTCGGTCTCGTGCCGGGGGGCGGCGAGATGGGGCGGGGAGGTCGATAGGGTTCGCACTCAGCCGCATGGGGTGGCCTCGCCACTGTGCCGAAGTAAGAACGTTGCAATGCGTTGTGCTGTGTTCGATTCTTGTGCACTGTTGCAATCTTCAGCTCCTTTCGTGAGCATCCAAAACTTGGCAAGACAAAAGTCAAGCAAGCCAGATCGAGTTCATTTGTTTCCTCTATGTACAGGCTTCCCCGTAAGCCGCAGGATTAGGGTGCTGCAGTACAGTCGCCAACCAACTCTTAGTATGTTTTAGCTAACTGCCACCCTCGTTCGCAAGGGTTTCGCGCGGGGGGTGGCGGGGGGGGGGGGGGGGGCCGAAGAGACTCTGGCCACCTTCTGAAATTACTGTAACCAGCATTGAAGCAGTCTCAGCATAGCGGAGTGCCACGTTCTCACTCTCATGGCATCAATGCTGTGGTGTGGTCAGGTTTCCTCATTATCTGACTTGCCGCTTTTCTGCACAATGAACATCTGCTGGCGCAGCACCGCCTTGTTTGTACATTTCTCAGGTATAGGCACAGAGTGCTAAGTTTGCTAACAGGCCATGGGTGTTGGGCATGTGCGCGTTGGACGGTATGAGATCCTCAGGAGGAAGTCCTTTGCCATTAGTATGGTGGGTTTTGCAACACTCGCACACTCTGTTCCACAAGAGTTCGGAGCATCAACAACAGAAACACCTAGAGAAACCCCAAAGCCCCCAAGCCCTATAACCTTCCATAGAGGAACCCCAATTCTTCAGAGGCTTGCGCGGCTCTTGCCTCGGTGTGCGGGCGCAGGCTTACCTGCTCTCAGCTGTTTGGCTAAGTTTGAGGAAAGCTCCGGCCTCCGTGTTCAGGACTTAAGGGACTTAAGGGTTTAGGGTTTGTCATCAAGTCCGGTTTCAAAAAAGGGTTTACGGTTAACCAGAACTCAAGAAGGGCAGATGTTGAGCGATGCTTGCAACCTGGTGACCGGAGCAGACGGCAGCCGAAACGACCTGGAGACCGGTCCAGGCTAAGCGGAGCCTCGCAGCCCTTATATCCCAAACGAACCCACACTGTCGGCAAGGCTCGGGGATATCTACTTGGGCCCCAGGGAAGCCGAGTCGGTCGACCCCGTGATTCTCTGGGGAGGTCTCGATGGGGGATTCCGAAATACAAGGGTGCCTTATCTCGGAGTTGTGGTAGTTAAGGATCCTGCTATTACAGGCGGTGTCCCATATTTCGTGGAAGAACTCAGCCACGCAATTGAGGTGCAGGAACAGGCAGTACGGCAATATCTCGGTGCGAGTGGTAAGTGCTGGTACTCGATAGTGTTCCTGCAGTAAGCTTTCCGAAAGAAAAGCTCTTTGGCTTTTGCATTGAATCCACCACCAGCTGGCCAGCGCATGCTGTTTAGGGCTTGGGGGCTTGAGGGTTTAGGCTACAAGGGTTCAAACTTAGGGCCGGGGTTTGGAACTAGTTTCGTAAATTTCTTTATTGAGCCAGGCATCGCTCCAGTTCTGTTCCTGGTGATTCTGATGCCGACGATCGCCAAAGTCCTGCGCGGACACATGGCTGACCGAACGTATCGCTCCGAGCTGCAGAAGTAGGGCTTTCATGAGACCTCCCACATTCTCGGCCTGAACGCAAGTGCCTTTGCCCTGTCTCTGCCTAATCCGCAGTCCGAGTTCAGAGTCTCACAGTTAGAGTTAGGATCCCGCATCACTGTGTGTATCTCTTGATTCTCATTGTTCGAACGCGAAGCCAAGGAAAATATGAGGAGCCTGAAGCGAGCGCAAAGAAGGCAGAGCAGGTGCCTGCCTTGCACTCATTCACTGAATCACAAGGTTAAAAGCAGTGCTTGGTTGTGAGTGTGTCCGGTCGGTTCTTGACCCTCGGGTACTCATGTACAGACGCATGCGGATGTGAATGCGTACTTTAAACCATGCCGGTAGACAGATACAGGTATATGCCATGCCGCGAGAAAGCACGGGGGATCCAAAGGTGTTTTCCGTGGATCCAAAGGTGTTTTCCGTTTCTGTGCCGCGACTCGCAGCCACTATTGCTCTGCGGCGCCAAAGTGCCCGCGGCCGTTTCAGGCCCTTGAAACATGCAACGAAAGGGCAGCAGCACACCCCTGACACACCGGCATAGGCTGGAGCGCAAGTTGCATCTTGAAATTTGGAGCCCACAGATCATGACCAGGATGCCTTATGCCCATCGTGCTCTCGAACAGCCCCAAGGCTCAAGGCTTTCAACACCCCCTGGTCAGGGCAGAGATTGAAGCGTGAAGCTGGTTGCAGGTCCCAAAACCTTGCATTGAATTCGGCCCGTTTTGAGGCCTAGTTAGCGGGCGAAGCCAATCCAGCGATGGCTACCGCTGCCTACGTCGTTTCGGGTGCCAGTGGGTGCACTCCAGTGGGGACAACAGGCTGAGCTTCCGAAGCACTTACACCATATCATGACTGAATGTGGCTTTTTAGGATGGACTGCTTGGAGGACCAGCGTTGAGGTGTGAACATCCAATTCCCCAGAACCCGACCATGTCATACATGTGGTGCGAACGTGAGCTCGCG